CATGATTAAACTTGTACCTCTTTTCCCACATAAGTGTACTGGTGCGCTGAGAATTTATCGAAAGTTTACGTGGGCTAGCCAACTGCCCTTCTGAATTCTCTGATGGGAATTTTCGCAACGTTAATAGCAATCACTTAAAATGTTCACTCTATGTATTCCTTCTAACGTGGCATGTTTCACAGTCATAAATGGCATTCAGATTCTTAACCTGGTTTATAAAAATACTAACAGGAGCTTAGTAACGTAACTGCGACGTTAGGTTAATTATATCGACACATAGACCACAGTTTATCAACGTCAATAACTCACCAGCACTGGAATTGCCAATACAAGCGAAAACGCAAGTCCCAAGAAGTAATTGAGAAGAAGACGACTTGATCACCCGGACAATACTTTTATTCGCCTGACGTTTCGGGATCCGTCGCGAATTCATCATCAGAGACATAAGCAGAAAACAGTAGCAGATACGGGAACTGGAATTACCATTTCTGGCCTGTTAGCTGTCATCAATCAATCAGTCCGCCAGCCGACCAATCAATACTCGACCTTGACTGGACTGTGAGGCTCGAGGTTGGACCACAGCTCAATGCAGCTCCTCCGGAATTGTGCGAGTTTTAGGGAGGTGGATGTCGATGGACATGCACCAGTATATAAGTTTTTTGCATTCCACTATTCTGTGTTAACATGGGAAAGTTTTTTAGTTACGTCTGGCGTTTTTTTGTATTTCAGGTGAGGGAGAGGTGATTATAAGTCCAGGACAAATTGTGAAACCAGCCTGGGCCCCCTTTTCATTCACCTGCACGACGACGAGGGCAGCAGGCAGGCCGACAGTTGTATTCGCAGACACTCGCCAACCAGTAGACAGCGATGCTCGGTTTAGCGTCACCAGGCCGACAGCCAATTCGGTGGTTGTCAGTGCTCATGAGGGTCTCATCGGCATCCCGAGGAACATGACCATTGAGTAATGCTTTGCTAGCGACTTTTTATGCTCCGGCATTATAGGGATGTTTTCATAAAAAGCCGCATTTCGACTCGGTTCTAGCCCATCAGTATACAGTTGAAGTTCAAAACCTGACTACCAGAGAACATATTTTCAAGCAGTGCCTGCTTAAACTGGCTTACTGTGGCTTGACCAGTAGTATCCTATTTCATACAGCTTTTGAACTACGTCTTTATTTTTTATGTCTTATGGGGACTTGTATCTTCAACTGTTGAAGCGACGGACAAGGAATATTACATTTGTTTAAATGCGTTAGCAATCATGAGAAGACTTTCATATGAATACTGGGCAAACTTCACTGCTTACTTAGCCACTAGTTAGCCAAATAGGTGATGGATGGATGGCCAAACAGTAGTCCACATTTTGCTTAAAATGAATTTGTTTGAGAACTTGTAAGCCATTTTAAAAATCTATTATTCGATGTGTTGGGATTATTCCTAACAGGCGGTCCGAGTGAACTTTCAGGTCAAGCTATCGGCCTGCCTACAGACAATGAATGCGCGCGATGTGCGCGCGCCTAGAAGTGACACCAGCCGGCTAGGATGAAGTCGTGCGCGGCGAGGTCACCCAATGCGGCCAGGACCAAGGGGCCAGATGGCCAATCAAGCCCCTAGGCGAAAGAGAGCACAATCTGATTGGTCGCATCTATAATCCTCCATATCATATAGTCCCCGTCAAGGGACACAATAAACGACTTCCTTTCCCTTACGACCTTGTTCGTTGTCCTCCTTGCTGAACTGACACAAGAGACTGGGCGGCACAAATAATAGCCTGGGAACCCATTACAACAATATGAACCTGCAACTGCGTATTAGGGCCCTCCACCGTATTCACTGTCTGACTTCATAGCAGATATGAAACTCATTTTGTAATTTTCTTTAGCCGCCAGTGATGGGAAATCGATCAGTGTTACTCTTATCCTCTGCTTCCATCCAAATTTAGATGCTTTACTTCGAAGGAAGCCAAACAGAATATTCAGATTTACGTTGAATCTCCCTGTGCGGTGGGGCAATTTGCTTGTCGCACTGGATCATGTCTCCCATTGGCCAAACTTTGTAATGGCGTGAGCGATTGTCCCGACTCTTCCGACGAAAGCAGACAATTCTGCTCTAGTAAGTTCAACCAAGTCTAACCAACTTTTGCGTCACATAATCAATGAGCTTGAAGCAAAGACATCTTCAGGTTGGGTAATTGTTGGTTTTTTTAGGTGCAAGAGGCTAGAACAAAGAGGGAAAGGAATATTTTTCATAGATATTGACTTACAACAATTTCGCCAATTACCGTCCAGATAGATGATTCTTTTTAGTTTATACGCGCCGACTGATTAGTCTCTTGTTGGAGCATTATAGCATGCTACAACGAATCGGTGTATTCAGAACGATAAAAACCTAATGTGGCCTATGGGTGCCTTCATGTGGGAGCGGAGCAAGCCGTAGGGAGCCCCACCCTCCCTCCCCGACTCCAGAGGAAGAACGTATATATGTTCAACGTTTTTTGTTCCACCTTAATAATGAAATTTTGCGGACT